ATGGGTCAATGGAGGAATGCTGGAAATTACACTATGGAATGGAGAAAACGATAACTATCATATTGGGATACGGGAAGGTTGGAGTTACTTCTCCAACACCAGCCCTTCAAGCATGGAGCAGGCCAACTTACATGAAGGTGCTGTCCCGGGTGATGGAGCCATCTGGCCCAGTCTGGACATCAATGCCAGAGATCAGCTGGTTCTCATAGATCAGTTTGTCCCCAATCACCTGGCAGGAGTTGATCTTGGGGGACTAACCCACCCTATGTCTCCTGAGCAGAGCACTCTCCCTGGCTTCCACAGGGAGTATCCTCACCTGGACTGTGGTGCCGCACTGCATGACAGGGAAGCGGAAGATCACAAAAGCCTCTGTCATTCTGATGGGATCACACCCTGTTTGGGCATAGGCTAGCTGGACACTGTCCAGGATGATGGGGTGATCAAACATGTCCCTGGAGACCACCAGAACAAAGTGACCATCCACGAGGCACTGAACAGTGACTGCAATACAAGGGAGCAGATTGAGGACAGAGTAATAGATTTGGAACACGATGGGTCAGGAGTCCTGGATCCCACCCTGGTTTATATAGTGATTGTTGTTGAGACATCAGTATTTCATATTCCTTGTAGGGCAGCAGCTTGTATCTGTCAAGATACAGCAGCACTCTGGAAACAGGTTCCAGCCATACTAACCCACAATGCAACCCCATGGAGCTAGAAGATTCACTCACACACACCTCCCTCCCTCCCTCTGTGGATGCCAGACTGTGCTCCCTTGCTGCTCTTTTGCCACACATTTGGTGGTGTTAGTCTTGCTTTACTCAAGACAGATCGGCAAAATCATGCTCTGGGAAGTAACTCAGTCTGCATGTGACTGGCGCTCACTGCTGCCCTGAGTAAGGGGTACATGGCAGTAGTTTCTACTTGAGACAGGAGTCCTAGAGCAGCAGCTGAATCCCAGCCTAGTTCACCACATTAATAGGTGGTGACCAATCTCAACTGAGAGCATATGGCCAGGCTTCCCAGGACAGAGATAGCAAAGGGCTCCATACGCCAACACAAAGCCAGGTCTCCTACCTGTGTTGCCATAGTAGCAGGGGGTAGTAGGGTCAGTCTCATCATAACAGCAGCCAGCCTGGGAGCAAGCAGCTCGGCCTGGGGCATCTCGGCAGGGGATCTTCCCAGTCACCACTCGGCACTGCTCCTGTGTGAGATGGGCACCTAGAACAGCAGGGTGTGGATTAAGGAGAGCTGGGGATCCTCTGAAGGGATCGCAGTCGGCCCTCCCTAAAAATGTAGCCATTTGTGTGCTCCATTACTCCAGCTGCCAAGTCACCAGATACTCCCCCCACCCCTTCAAATAGGCTTTTATTCCAGATCCCCAGACATTCCAGTATCCTCACACCACAGGTTGCCTCAAACCACTGTGTACAGAGCCCCATGCCAGGTCTCACAGGTACAAGATGTGGCCTGTCATCAAGCAGGCACCAGTGACAGAATTTCCTGTGTGATCTCAAGTTCCTTTTCTACTGTTGTGGGAGAAATGAGCCACATCACTCAACCTCCTTTCCCCTGAGATATGACCACTCTCAATTCTAACATAGCAGCTGTGAGGAGGAGACAAGGAACAGTTCCAGTTAAGGCCACCACACGAGGACATACCTATGTTTCTTGGTGGAGGATAGATGTGGGGCACCAGGCGCACCAGGCCCGTCTGCGGCACGGGCACCGGGTGCACTAGGCCTGGCTGCGGCACATAACCCCAGAGGAAACCATGCGCTATGTCATGTTCAGGAGGCTTGGGGCAGGTCATGATCACATCACGGGTGGCAGCGATGGCCCCAGTGCTCAATAGTTCCTCCACTCGGACCTGTAGGTGGTTAAGGCCATCCTGCAATGAAGAGATGCCAGTTAGTCTGTTATGCCACAATACTGTCTGTCTGTAGGTGCCAAGCACAGCCTCCCGCCCCCCCCTCCCAATCTGCAGGCTGCTGGGGCAGCAGGTATGGACCCAGCTACAGCTTCTGTAGTTGCTCAGGTACATGTGCCCCCCACCTTCTTCTGAACGTGGCAGCCATTGTAGCCAGCCGAGAAGATCACTACTCCTTGCTCGCCAGATGTGACCCAATGGAGACAAATGGAGCAGTTGGTAACTTCGAAGGGTGTCCCAAACTCATCTGTGGAGAGAGTCATACATGTCATGGGTAAGGAAGAGTTAAAGCCCATAATGAAGCTTTGTCAAGTAGCCAAGTTTGGACCAGAGACTGTTTTTTGGTCCCATCCTTCAGTTTAGTGGAGCTTTAGCATGGTGGTAAGCAGCTCAAAAGGTACAGGATAGCCCACATTTATCAAGCCTGACCTACAGCCAGGAGTGCTGATAGTGGCCAGGCCAGGCCATCCCACACTTTTGCATGACAACAGTGAGGTGATAGCCCACAGAGGGCACAGGATTCAGGTGTCTGCAACTCAGAGGGCTGAGTTACACCAGAGCTTGGAATACCTAGCCACATTTTGTTATGTCCCTCTACATTTTCCCCCCAGCATGGTTCCCTCTGTGACTCAAAAAATAGCAGAGGGTAAAGTCAGCAAGCTGTTATGAGGAAAGATGTAGCCCTAACAGTTGAATCCAGCTAGGTAACTCCAGTCTTTTCTCCAGGGGACAGAAGCCACAGACTCTTACTTCAGGGAGATCAGGGTACTCAAGATTTGAGGGTAACAGCCAGGCCACTAAGAAGCACTAGAGTAGGAACTTCAGGAAAAGAAAAAGGTGGTCTCATTACATATTGTATAAGTAAGAGGTTTCCACAGGAGACCCATAAAACCCTCCTGCATGTCTAAGAGAACAGACAACCAGGAGGTTTCTTAGCTTTCTGAAGAAGCAGCCACTTACCCACAACTTTGAAGCGGACAGTGTGACCCTGTCTGGGAAAAACCAGCAGCTGCATCCCATAGTCTCCACACTCATACTCATACCCCTGTTGCAAGACAGAGAAACTGACCTACGGAAGTCCCCCTGCCCAAGGACTGCTCCCACAGACCAGAGCAGTACTAAGCCTACAAAATACCTATAGCCCAGCCCCATGGCTGAAGGTACTAAGGAAGAAGCCCTGCCCAGCAGTCACTTCTCATAAGTGGAGAAGCCGTGGGACTGGGGCTTTCTAGGGTGAGGGGAGGGGGCGGGGTGTGAATCAGATGAGCAGAGAGGCAGCACCTGGGGAGCTGCCTGCTGCTGGGGAGGGGCCAAGTGAAAACTGCAAAGCTCAGGGTGAAAGGGAAACAAAACCATCGAACCCTTCAGCCCTAAGACCCCGCATCCATTGAATCCTCCTGTTATGCTCCCTTTTCAGTGTTGTGAGCTCTCAGGATTTTATTGCAAGTCCTGTGGTAACTGATGTTTTATTTCAAGCCCCATCTCCTAGAAACAAGGGACTAGCTGAGAACCTCAGTGTGCATTCAAAATAAAATAGGGTTACCATACATCCGGATTTCCCCGGACATATCCGGCTTTTTGGTCCCCAAATCCCCGTCCGGGGGGAATTGCCAAAAAGCCGGACATGTCCAGGGAAATAGGGAGGCTTGGCTCTCTGAATGTGTGTGTGTGGGTCGCCCGCTGTGACATCATCTCGGTGCGACACTCGGCTCCTGCCCAGGGCATGCTGGGGGCTGTAGTCTGGCCGGGCCTCACGCTCCAGGGAGAGCCGGGAGAGGGGTGCGGCCGAAAACTACAACTCCCAGCGGCCCCTGCGACGCGACCAACCTGCCCCGTGAGGCAGCAAGCCGTCGGGGGAGGGGGGGCGCGGGCCCCTGTCCTTTGGGTGGGGGGTGTCTCTGGGCGCCGCTCGGCAGCCATCGCAGGGCTGGGGGGCGCCCCGGGGGCGGGGGGGGGGTTGTGGTCGCCAGCGCGTTGCGGGAAGCTGGCACTGTCCGGATTTGCGTCCCCCTGGGGCTGGAGCTGCGCCCCCGGCCCCGGGCACCAGTCACGGGGCAAGCTGGAGGGGCCGGGGTGGCTGGCGAGCCTGGGGCATGAGAGGAGCCGCTAGTCGGGTTGAGCTGTCTGGAGGATGTTGTTGGGGTGTGTCTGCGGGGCAGGATCCCGCCCTTCCCCCCCTCCCCCGTGTCTCCATTTACTTTCCTGAATGGAACTGGTGAAAATAAATTGGGCTGCTGTGTGCCCTGTGAGTCCTGTCCGTAAACCATGACCCAGGGGAAACGTTACTCAGGTCTTGCACCTCCATATCTTGTGAGGCGAGGCAAAGGTCAGGCTCCTAGCCATGCACCCCACTCGTGATACACAGCCATAAAAATACTTTATGCTTGTAGAGCGCCTGCAGTGTGAGCATCACAAAGCGGCAAGTGGAAAATCATAAATAGGTGGAAACAGATCGGAGTGTAAGGCCTTGGTGGCGCAGGAAAATTCTCTCATTTTAACAGTACCAGTATAATGAAAGTGGGACAACTTCTTGGCATGGACTTGGTATCAAAGTGCTTGTACCAGTATAGAATTACA